TGGACATTACCGAGGATAAGGAGATGGAGGTGGAATTCACGTACTCCGCCAAGTGGAAGCCGACGGACAAGTCGTTTGACAAGCGCATGGACAAGTACTCGCGCTACTCGTTCCTCCCGCAGCATCTGGAGATCCACTGGTTCTCCATCATCAACTCGTGTGTCACGGTGCTGCTGCTTACCGGATTCCTGGCGACCATTCTCATGCGCGTCCTCAAGAACGACTTCATCAAGTACGTTGATCTGATACGGTGTCATGAGGTAAAAAAACACGAAACACGAAACACGTTCTTATCAGGTACGAAACACGAAATCTTGAAGTGCGTCAATTGTTGGTTTTTAGAAGTTCCAGGAGGAAACGATTTGAGGAAGCATGCCACTCAACTTCTTTCTCGACCAAAGAATATTTTTAGGCGAACGAATGCAGTCGCGTTTCCAGTTTTTTTCGAATCTGCCGATTCCCGTTTGACTCAGCGCTGCATTTGCTTCATCGGGCCATGGTCGGAATATGCTGATTTGCCTATGAATAGTTGGCGCACGGAAGGAAGTGTGTGTTGCTGCAGCTCGTTTTACGGGAATCGCCTACTTTTTTTTGCGTGATCCAGATATTCGCGTGACGAGGAGTCGTCAGAGGAGCAGGAGGAGACGGGCTGGAAGTACATCCATGGCGACGTCTTCCGCTTCCCCAAGAACAAGGACTTCTTTTGTGCCGTTCTTGGCAGCGGCACTCAATTGCTCTTCCTGTAAGTCTGGTTGCTTCACTTACACTGAGATTCTCTTGCCGAACGATTTGCTAAAAACTCATTAGAGCACCATGGCAGCCTGCACGCGTCATGCATCGTTGATCGGAATCATGAAGTGCTCCTTCTCCGTTTGAGTCCCAAATCCGTGTCTTCTCCCGTGCCTGCTCTCTTTCCTTCAGGGTCATTTTCATCTTTATCCTCGCTCTTGTGGGAGTGTTTTACCCCTACAATCGCGGTGCTCTGTGGACTGCGCTGGTGGTGATCTATGCGCTGACCTCTGGCATTGCCGGGTACACGGCTGCGTCTTTCTACAAACAGATGGAGGGCACCAACTGGGTGAGTGCAATGCAGCTCGTTACGTGGCTGGGGATAGCGTGTAGGGAAGCCTGGGGAAGTTTTTCTAATGCTTGCTAGTATTCTGGTGTTTGCCACAGATGTAAATTATGGAGTAAAGTAGTGCTGTCTTGCTGGTTTAGGGTTTCGTCTAATGCCCCTACACTGAAGCAAGACCAGTTGAATAATCGAAAAACCTCATGCACAAACCTTTGATGCGTCTTTCTCATTCCACTGTGTCTTCTGGTATCATTTTCTGACATGGCATTGGTGCCTGACTGTGAGGTGCTCCAAGCTCCTGAGATACTGATCCGCTCATCCTGTCCCCCACTCCCCCCGCCCCTTCCGCAACACCCTCTTCCTCGCCTTCCGCCAACCCCTCACCCCTACTGTCCTCCTTGTCCCTTTTTTTCCCGGGATCACCGGCAGGTGCGCAACATTCTGCTGACCGGGTGCATGTTCTGCGGGCCGGTGTTCATCTCCTTCTGCTTCCTCAACACCGTCGCCATCGTCTACAACTCCACCAACGCCAAGCCCTTCGGCACCATCGTCATCATCATCCTCATCTGGGCGCTCATCACATTCCCCCTCCTCGTTGCCGGTGGCATAGCTGGGAAAAAGAGCAATGCGGAATTCCAGGCGCCCTGCCGGACGACTAAGTACCCGAGGGAGATTCCGGTGCTGCCGTGGTACCGCCACACTGTGCCTCAGATGGCCATGGCTGGGTTTCTGCCGTTCAGTGCGATTTACATCGAGCTGTATTACATCTTTGCGAGCGTGTGGGGGCACAAGGTGTACACGATCTACAGCATCCTCTTTATAGTGTTCATCATTCTCATCATTGTGACGGCGTTCATCACGATTGCGCTCACATACTTCCAGCTCGCAGTTGAGGACCACGAGTGGTGGTGGAGGTACGATATGCACCAACCTTCCAACCTTCTGACCTTTCAGCCTTTTGAACTCCCTCGTCTTTATTGGTTCCTGGTTGTCCTCAAGCATGATGCTGTTCCCGGTCTTTCCCAGTCCAGGCAACTTCAAGCTCCATGCTCCTGTTGCTCCTTCGTGCTCTTCTTGTACTTATGCAGCTTCTACTACCACTGCTTACACTCCCATTCCCCCATTTCTCTTTTCCTTTCCCTTCTCCCTTTCCCCTCAATCAGGTCTGTGCTGTGCGGTGGCTCCACCGCGCTCTTCATCTTCGGCTACTGCTTCTACTACTACTATGCTCGCTCCGACATGACCGGCTTCATGCAGACGTCCTTCTACTTTGGCTTCATGGCCTGCGTCTGCTACGGCTTCTTCCTCATGCTCGGCACCGTGGGCTTCCGCGCCTCGCTGTCGTTCGTGCGCCACATCTACCGCTCAATTAAGTGCGAGTAAGTTTTTCTTCAGGGTAAAGCAAAGGGAGCAGGGAGGGGCGAAGGGGGGCAAGGGGGAGGCTTGGAGGATTTTGGGATTGGGGATGTGGTGAGGGAGTGTGAAGGGGAGGTATGGCTTAAGGGAGAGTGAGAGTGGGGCATGGGGCTTCATGCAGACGGCTTCGTACTTTGCCCATATCTACTGCTTGATTAAGTGTGAGCAAGTGTTCTAGGGAGCAAGGAAAAGGAGAGGCAGGAGAGAGGGGAGAAGGGGAGGACTGTGTGGTTGATGTTGATTGGGGTGGTGTTTTGGGGAGAGCAGGAGCTCCTCTCCTTGCTGTCCTTGTTGCCCCACATGCCACATCCACCCCTCAATCAAATTCGGGGAGGCTGAGGGGAAGGGGAGAGAAGTTGGTAGTAAAGGGTGGTCTGGGGCAGTTTGGGAACGTTTTTTGGCGGAAAATTGGGGCTCTCAGGATTTGCTGTTCTTGGTACGCCACGTCTACTGCTGTTATTTCCTTTTGTATAGGAAGGGAATGAGGGGAACGGTGTGGGCAGGAATGTATGGGGGAGAGCTGGGGCTTTTGGGTCCCACTCTCCTTTGTGCACCACATCTATCTCCCCCCCCCTTTTTTTCCTCCCCCATACGTGAGTTAGTGACTCTTACAGGGGGGTAAGTGCAAGTAAGTGACTGTTGTGAGGGGGTGGGTGGAAGATAGTTACCTACCAAGAAGGGCACTTTTGGAGTGTTCTTTAACTTGGGGAGGAAGGTTGGGAGTTGGCAGGGGGAAGTGGAGAGGTGGACGGGGAGAGATAGGGTTTGAGAGGTGTTTGTTTTGAGGTGATTATTCTGACGTTTTCACTCACATTCGCATATGGGCTCCCTCTCGTCCACCCACCCATTCTGATGGTCCCTTGCAGCTGAATGGCCGAGGCCTTGGGAGGGAATGTGGGAATGCTGGCCTGAAAGAGTATGGTGATACCAGATGAGAAGTTAGCTTATTAATGCACTTGTGGTATGCATGGTAATGATTTTGTACTACACATTTTGGATGTTGTTTGCTAGAGATTAGAGCTAACGTTTAATGGTAGTTTAGAGCAACTGTTTTACATTGTGTACTTCTGAACTTCAGCACACACCATCACAAGCAGCTCCTTTCTGCTAACCAACGTTTTTATTGCGCTGCCGGTGTGCTACGAATATGCAAATGGACGACCTCCTCCGACTTCACAAACACCCGATACAAGACTACGGGAATACGACTGGTTGGTAAATTTCGGCAGATGTAATCCCCGTTATCAGCAAAGCTCGTTCCCGCCACGATTTTTCCCTTCGGTGGTCGCGTCAACTTCTAGGTTGAATGAGAACCCCAAGGCGGAGCGACAAGTATGCATACCTTCTAGATTCTGCTGTCAGTCGTGATAGTCTTACCTGCTCTTAGTGACTAACTTAGAAGCATTGTATGGTTCGCGCGTCGTTCAAGTACAAAGTTCAAATGCTGCTGCGCAATGCTAGGGAGTCACGTTGTCTCATTTTCTCGATACTCGTCTAGATACTGACACGCGAAATGTCATGATGGCCGGTACGATGAACGAAGGACCCCCTAAATGCTCTGCTAAAGGAGGGCGACGTTCACTTATAAAAGGTAGTAGTACGGTGCTTGCACCGCGTACAAGGGTATTGAGGCAGCAAACGAAGCCTAAGCGGTTCATACTTTTTCAGCAGCTACGGAAGCACAAGGATACGTCATCCCGAAAGCTGTCGACGCAGTCGCATCAGCGCCGTAGGCGTGCTGAAGCGGGAGCTTTCGTTTTTGTCACGTCAGAGCCGTTGGCGTGCTATCAGTGTATCAGTCGTGCCCTTGAGTCGATTTAAGCAGCGCGACGGGGGAGCGTGCCAGTCAATCATGGGAAGAATCATTCAGTTTGGAAAGCCCGGTAGCCTCCGGTGGCGTGCCATTACTGTTGATAATGACGGACGTGGCGTGTCCACGTGGCACCACGTCCCGCTCTACGCCTTTCCAAGATGCCACGTCAGCGGCCGGATCGACTCGGCAGCTTCGTATCTGTCACCAGTTGCGGGATACGCTTCCAGCGTGACAGAATGCGATTGGTCAGAGCCTTCCAGTGCGCCTTTGCTACACATGGTGGTTACCACGCCACGTGGCTCATGGTTACGGGTGGAGCCTGCAGCTGACGAGGATTTCAATCCACTCCGGATAGCTGCACGGGATGGCAGGCCGTCTCACTATTCTTATAATGCACCATACAACATCGGGTTTCTTCCTCAAACGTGGGTTCAAACCAGCAGCAGCAGTGGGAGCAGCAGTTACGGCAGCAGCAGCAGTTTTGTCAGCAGCAGCAGCAACAGCAGCAAAAGCAGCAGCAGTAAGAACAGGAGCAGTGACCTTTCTAGGAGTAGCTTTGACGGCAGCAATGGGTTTGTTCGAGACTCTAATGATTCCTATTTCAGTAATATCACTAATCCTACTCACCCTTCTTTTGGTAACCCTATTACTGATAACGGAGTTTCGCCGTATCAAGCCGTCCAATCAGGAGCGCCGATGCAGGCAGTGGAAATCAGTGGAGCAGCAGCCCTCCCAGGGGATGTTCTTATAGTGAGGGTTCTTGGAGCCTTCGCTACAGTGACGGATACAGCTCCTGACGCAATCTCGTGGAAACTTGTGACTTGTGCACTTTCGGACTTTCATAATCAGCAGCAGATGGAGCATGAATCGGGAGACATTGGGGAGCAGGGGGAATGGTTAAGGGTGTGTGGGGAGATTAAAGACGCACAGGAGTTAGAAGCTAAAGCGCCTGGCGTGGTGGATAGTGTACGTTATTGGCTGCAGAGTTGCGATCAAATCCACCCTGGCGATTCTCCTGTTTCTTTCGAGCTTTCTGGGCAGCTTGCGCCCCCGCGAACAGCTTTAAATGCTGCCCGGAATGCTGCCCAAGCCTGGGGTGTGATGACTGCGGATGGTCGGGCAGTCAGACCTGTCCACGTGGCGTTTTCTCGGGCAGGAGGAATGCTCCCGACACACCGGGCAGACGTTGAAAAAATCTGGGAGGCGAGCTACCTGGAGAACCTCAGCTTAGCATCAATTTCATTGACCTGCCCGGAGAAAATTTTGGGCGTCAGTGACACTGCTGGTAGCAGAGAAACCACCACTGCAGATTCATCACTGCAATCATCATCACGATTACCACCAGCATCAGCGCTACCACCATCAAGAAGATCCTACCCTTCCCTCTCCTCCTCTTCCGCTGTCTCATCACACCACCGCTTCAACCTTTCTCCTCCCACTTCCTCTTTCCATACAGCGGCATTCATAATGGAACAGCCCGTAACCCACAGCACCACACAGAATACCCCTCGCACCCCCACAGCACGCCACAGCCACAAGCATCAGCTTATGGCCAAACTCTTTTCCAAACTGCCCAACACACACTCGGGGCAGGAGAAAGAAAATCCCCGGCGCAGGCAGCAGCAGCAAGAAGCTTCCGCCCAGTTTCAGGAAAGCCGGTTTGTTTCGTTGCCCCAAGAAGAAAGCTTTCTCTCTTCTTCCCAGCCTCCCAGATCAAGCCATATCCCCACCAGCAACCCCAGGCCTTCACAGGTGTTCCCCCACCCGCAGGGCTCACAGGGGGGCAAATCGAGGGGTGTAGGTGCAGCAGGGGATGAGAGGATACTGGCGGCTTCCAGTCAAGAAGGATTTACTGTTCCTGCTGCTGCGCCTTCGTCGTTGAATGTAGTTGCGCCTGCCCTTACGGCCGGAGAAACGGGTGGTAACCAGACTGCTGCTGGTAACCACGCTGTGGTTGCAGAAACGCCAAGCTCCGTGCTTCCCTTCCTGGGCTTCTCTAGAAGCTCTCTCCACGCCCCTAAGTTTCTGCGCCCTCCTAAACTCCTCTCCTTGTCTCTGATGCCTGGTGGTGGTGGTGCTGCTGGGAAGGATGGGAGGGGCAAGGAGGGAAGAAGCACGGAGGAAGAGGGGAAGGAGGAGAGAAGGGGGAAGGAGGAAGCGGTGAAGCAGAAGCAGAAGGGGAAAGGGAAGAGAGTGGGGTTTGGTGCGGTGGAGTGCGTTGCTGGGCCTCCCGCCGCTGCTCTATCGGGTATGTGGAGGGAAGAGGAAAGGTGGGAGGAGTTGGAGAGAGGAGAGGAGGAGAGAGAGGAGGAGGGTGGGAGAGGCAAGGAGAACAGGGGGAATATGGAGGGTGAAGTGAGATGGAGTAGTATGGAGCTAGCAGCAGGGATAAAATCAGCTGCAGGCCTAGGGGAAACGGCTTATAGAGCAGGGGATGCGTCCATAAGGGGTACAGAAGCAGTGGCGGATCCTGGGGCAGGTGAAGGTCTTTTGGCGCCTACAGTGGAAGATGCAGGATTGGAGGAGAGGTTTGAAGCGGGCAGGTTGAAAAAACAGATGGCTTGTGAGCTCGAAGCAGCTCTAGCGAAGCAAGAGATTATAATGAAGAAACAGGAGATGCTTATAAAGGAGGGGAAGAAAAGGGAGGAGAGAGCGAGGAAGGAGAAGCAGAGGAGGGAAGAGAGGATGAAGAGGCGGGAGGAGCGGGCGGGTGGGAAGGACGGGGAGAGAGTGTGGAGGGAAGTGGGGAGGGAGGGAGAGAGGGAAGTGGAAAGGGAAGAGGAGGGAGAGGGGGAGGGCCAGAGGGAGGGAGAGAGGGAAGTGGAGGAGATTGAGGAGGAGGGAGAGGGGGAGGGGGAGGGGGGTATGGAGTTGCATCAGAGCAGAGAAAGGCAGATGGTGTGGAGGCAAGTGGAAGACTTGATGATGAGAAATGTGCCAATGAGTCAGGGCCTGTACGAGTGCTTATACCAGCATTTCTAGCAGAGACGGCAGCAGCAGCAGCACCTGTAGCAGAGACGGCAGCAGCAGCAGCACCTGTAGCAGAGACGGCAGCAGCAGCAGCACCTGTAGCAGAGACGGCAGCAGCAGCAGCACCTGTAGCAGAGACGGCAGCAGCAGCAGCACCTGTAGCAGAGACGGCAGCAGCAGCAGCAGCACCTGTAGCAGAGACGGCAGCAGCAGCAGCACCTGTAGCAACAGTTGTAGCAACACCTGTAGCAGCATCTGTAGCAGCATCTGTTGCATCATCTGTAACAGCTTCTGTAGAAGAGATTGTAGCAGAGACTGTAGCAGCACCTGTAGCAACATCTGTAGCAGAGCATGCAGCATGGCATGAGAGTGAACTTTCAGCGTCTCCTACTCTACAGAGAGCTGCACTTGAAGCTGTAGCTCCCCCATTCAGTAGCGGCAGCCAGGCAGTCCTGTCCTGTGAGGCAGCATGTGAGGCAGCCGAGTTGCCTTGTATAGAAACGGGGACAGGAGCATGTGTAGCATCATCTGTAGCAGAAACAGAGGCAGCAGCATCTGTAGCGTCTACTGCAGCAGAAGCTGAGACAGCAGCATCTGTAGCACCGCCTGTAGCAACAGATGTGGCAGCGGATGCACCAGGGGCTGTAGCAGCGGATGTAGCAGGGTCTGTTGCATTTACAGTTGATGTAGCAGCAGCAGCGGTCACTGCCGATGTGGCTGATCCTGACGTGGCGGTTGCTGATGATGACGTGGCTGTTGTTGACGTGGCTGTTGTTGACGTGGCTGTTGTTGACGTGGCTGTTGTTGACGTGGCAGTTGCGGACGTGGCTGTCGCTGACATGGCAATTGCGGATGTGACTGTAGCTGATGTTGTTCAAGGAAAGGTCGCTGGGAAGAAGGGCATTCAAGCTGCAGCAGTGACTAAAAGGAAGGGTGTGCTCAAAAAGGGGGGAAAGGGGAATAAGGAGGGCAATAGGGGCAGTGCAGCAGTGAAAGGGGGAGTGAAAGCAGGTAAAGGAGAGAAAGAGGGAAAAGGTGCCAGCAGCGTTCAGACTGCCACCACCGCTACAGCCACCACTGCTACAGCCACCACTGCTACAGCCACCACTGCTACAGCCACCAGTGCTACAGCCACCAGAGCTACAGCCACCAGTGCTACAGCCACCAGTGCTACAGCAGCCGCAGCTACAGCCACCACTGCTACAGCCATCAGTGCTGGAGCCACCACCACCGAGAGTGAGCGTTTGCCTGTGCACACCCCTCCCCCCAGCATCGCCTGCATCCAATCGCTGAGCGACAGCTGGCGTGCGAGCCATGAGGAGATGTTTTTCCAGCTGCTGTGCTCCCGAGGGGCGGCGCTGCTGGGAGGGGGCAGAGGGATGGGGAGGGGTGCTGGAGGGGTGGGGAAAGGGGCAGGGATGGGGGGAGGGGCAGGGAGAGGGGGAGGAGGAAATATGGAAGTGGGGAGTGGGGGAGGAGTAGTAGGAGGGTTGCTGCCGCTGCTGGGGGGGGTTGCAGGGAGGGGGGGAGGGGCAGGGAGAAGGGGAGGTTCAAGGGTGGGGGGACCCGGAGGGATGGGGAGAGGGGAAGAGTTGGGGGGAGGAGAGGGGGGGCTGCTGCCCCTGATGGCAGGGGATGGGGGGAAAGGAAGGGGAAGAGGGGAGGGGGAGGGGAGAAGAGTGAGAAAGGTAGATGAGAGTGAGAAGGAAGATTGTGAGTGTGAGTGGGAAAGGGGGAATGATATGGAGACTGTATGCTTGAGTGAGAATGAGATTGGGAATGACACTGGGAGTCGAAGTGGGAATGAGAGTGTGAGTGGAATAATAAATGGGAATGGGAGTGGGAATGAGAGTGGGAGTGGGAATGGGAATGATTGCTTTTATGGTGCTGTCACCTCATTGGACGAGGCCTTCCCGCCGGCCAGTGTGCTACAGTGCATCATAGCAGCAGAAGAAGACGAGCCCTTGCCGCCCACTGCCACAGCTGGCAGCATCATAAACAGTAATATTGGCTGCATGAACAGTGATATGGACAGCATGAACAGTATTGGTGGTATGAACGGTGTTACAGGTGAAGGGGAGGCAGACGTGGGAAAGGGCAGTGGCAGGTTGATGGGGAAAGGGAAGGAGGCGGGGAAGGGGAAGGGGAAGGGGGAGGGGAAAGGGAAGGGAGTCGGGCAGGCGAAAGGTTCAGGGAAGGGGAAGGAAGGTTTGAAAAAGAAGAAGCATGTGAACAGCAAAGACAAGGATTATGTTGTGGTTGGTGCTGATGCTGGTGCTGGTGCTGATGCTGGTTCTGATGGTGCAGCGCCTGGTGCTAACGTTGGTTCTGATGATGGTGCTGCTGTTGGTATGGGTTCTGTTGGTGATGCTCCTCGTGAAGCTGTTTATGGTGGTAGTGGGGTGGCTTATAGTGAACCATCTGATGAGAGTAACCTTCACATACAAGCACTTAAGGACACAGAGGACGAAAGTGCAGCCGCTTATAATAAGAGGACTGACAATACAGGGGATAGTCTCACACAGGCCCTAATGGGTTTGGGAGGCCTTGGACTAAGAGGAAGGGTTGGTGTGAGAAGAGGAGTGAGTGTGTCGGAGTGTGATTATGAAGAGTGTGATTTTGAATTGACTCAGGATTCACCTCGTCTGAATGTCACAAGGGTGGAACTGGAGTCAGTGGGTGTGACTGAGTGTGGTTGGGAGGAGGGGGCAGTGGAGGGTTGCTGTGAGGTGGGGAAGGAGAAGGACAAGCAGAAGGGAATGCTAAGAGATATCTCATCCGGGGAGGAGGACAAGCAAGGCACACTGCCTCAGTCAAAGAGAGGGAAAGGGAAGGGTAAAAAGGTAAAGCCCTTTTCAAACCCCTTGTCTTTTACTCCTTTCTCACCAATTGGTGATCCCTTTTCCGAAATTTGAGTGTTCTCGGAAACATTTCAAATGCTCCCCCTTCTCCCCTTTTTCTTTTGTGTGTGTGTGTGTGTCATTTCGAATTCTCCCCCCCTCCCCCTTTTCTTCTGTCTGTGTGTGTGTGTGTGTGTGTGTGTGTATGTGTGTGTGTGTGTGTGTGTGTGTGTGTGTGTGTGTGTGTGTGTGTGTGTGTGTGTGTGTTATTTCTTCCCGTGATCTTACCCCAACCCCATCCTCCTTCTGACAGCAGGCGCCTTCACAGCTGGTAGTTTCCGAAGCAGCTTCCAACTTCTCCTCTTCGCCACTTTCCTCCTCTTCCTCTTCCTTCTCGTCTTCTCACCCCCCTCACCACTCCCCCGCTTCCTCCCCTGCTGCTGGCTTGGCTGCTGTGGAGCGAACAGCAGGGGGGAGGCAGCACAGACAACAACACATTGTCGCTGTTACACACAAAAAAACTGGGAAGTTGAAAGACTCTGCGCGTGGTGCTGGTGCCAATTCTGCTGCTGCTGCTGGTGCTGTTGCCGTTGTTGCTGCTGGTGCTGGTTCTGCTTGTGCTGCTGCTGATTCTTCTGCAGACAATGATGCTGGCTTAGATGCATCTGCTGCTTCAGCTAGTGCAGAGCATGGCAGGAGTGGTGATGCCAGGTCTGAGAGAGATTGTGATTCTCCTCACCCCGACAATGCAGATATATCTTCCTTCTCCTCTCGTTCGTCCGCCGCTTTTACACGCAGCAGCACCACCAGCAGCACCGTCAGCAGCACTTACAGCTGCAGCAGCAGCACCAGCAGCACTCGCAGCCGCAGCAGCAGCACCAGCAGCAGCACCAGCACCAGCAGCAGCACCAGCAGCACTCCCAGCCGCAACAGCGTGTTTAACATATTCATGGGTGCCCCTGAGGACAGGGCGTTTCTCTTTTCCGAAATGGCTGGAATGGGTGGAAGCGGAGGAGAGGAAGAGGAGAGGAGGACTGTTGTAAAGAAGGGAAACGGAGAGGAGGGGAAAGGAGAGCAGGGAAAATCAGTGGAGGGGGAAGGAGAGGAGGGGAAAGCAGAGGAGGGGAAAAGGGAGGAGGGGAAAGGAGAGGAGGAAAAAGCGTCCATTTGTGCTGATGTTGGAAGAAAGGTGGAGCAAGGAGAGTGCACTGACCATCCAAGCATAGAGGAAGTGAAGGGAAGGGCACGGGAAGAGGCAGAGGAAGGGGCAGATGACGAGGCAGAGGAAGGGGTAGAGGAAGGGGCAGAGGAAGGGGCAGAGGAAGGGGCAGAGGAAGAGGCAGGGGAAGAGGCAGGGGAAGAGGCGGTAGAATCTGGTACCCCACTAGAGGCTGATGCATTACAAGGCAATAAAGAGACACTGGCTTCCGCCCTGCAACAGGTGGATGCGTTACAATCTGGTGAAGAGATCTTGGCTTTATCCCCGCTACAGGAAGAGGTGTTACAAGGTGGCAGAGAGTCAAGAGCTTTGTCCCCACTAAAGGCAGATGCGATACAAGGTCGTGCAAGGGAGAAGGGCATCAAGAGCCCGCGCAAGCCTAAGAAGCGAAAGGAGAAGGAGACGGAGAAAGGGAAGGAAAAGGCAAAGGAAAAGGAGAAAGTGAGTGGGGTAAAGGCAGCAGGGAAGAAGGGGAGGGCGAATGCGGGAAAGGTGGATGCTGGAGGGAAAAGTGCAGCAACTGTCACTGCTACAATTGCTGCAGCAGCCACTGCCGCAACCACTGCAACGACCTCTTCTCCCGTGCATGAGAAATTGGCCACGCAGGGAGAGGTAGGCAATGCAGCAGAAGAATCAGAAAATAGTGCCACAATAATCAAAGGTAGGAGCCATGCAGGAGTCTTGGAAATTGGATCGGAGGCAGGAGCTAGGGGGGAATCAGCAGCAGCTTTGAGAACTCTAGAAAGTGGCACACACACAGAAGTCAGCAACTCTTTTGAGTCGACTCAGAAGTCATCAGGAGCTAGGGGAGAATCAGCAGCGGTTTTGAGAACTCTCGAAAGTGGCACAAACACAGAAGCCAGCAGTACTGCAGGTGATTCGGAAAATAAGCTGGAGACAGTGGCTGGGGAAGGATCATCAGAAGGGGCTAGTCAGAGCAGAGAGGCTGTGAGAAATTCAGCAGCAGGGGATGGAGCTCGGACCCTCACTCTCCCTCTCTACAAATCCAATGGTGTAGGACATACAGAGTTTGGAGAGTCAGTGGCAGCAGAAGCTGGTCCAGAGGAAGGTCCTGGGAAGCTGCGCACAAGCAGTAGTGAAGTGAGAGCATTGGCAGCGCTTGTAACAGAGTTGGCCAGGTGCAGCAGCAAGGGGAGAGGCAGGTGCAGCAGCAAGGGGAGAGGCAGGTGCAGCAGCAAGGGGAGAGGCAGGTGCAGCAGCAAGGGGAGAGGCAGGTGCAGCAGCAAGGGGAGAGGCAGGTGCAGCAGCAAGGGGAGAGGCAGGTGCAGCAGCAAGGGGAGAGGCAGGTGCAGCAGCAAGGGGAGAGGCAGGTGCAGCAGCAAGGGGAGAGGCAGGTGCAGCAGCAAGGGGAGAGGCAGGTGCAGCAGCAAGGGGAGAGGCAGGTGCAGCAGCAAGGGGAGAGGCAGGTGCAGCAGCAAGGGGAGAGGCAGGTGCAGCAGCAAGGGGAGAGGCAGGTGCAGCAGCAAGGGGAGAGGCAGGTGCAGCAGCAAGGGGAGAGGCAGGTGCAGCAGCAAGGGGAGAGGCAGGTGCAGCAGCAAGGGGAGAGGCAGGTGCAGCAGCAAGGGGAGAGGCAGGTGCAGCAGCAAGGGGAGAGGCAGGTGCAGCAGCAAGGGGAGAGGCAGGTGCAGCAGCAAGGGGAGAGGCAGGTGCAGCAGCAAGGGGAGGTGAGTTCTGAGTCAACTCAAGACTCGTTGCTAACAGATTTGGCCTATGGGCGGGGAGAGCAGCAGAGGGAGATGAGGGCGGGAGAGGGGATAAGGGAGGCAGATACTGTAGTGCAGGCGCAGCAGCAAGAAGGGATAGGGAAGGCGCAGCAAGAGGATGTGCTAGTGAAGACTTGCGCAGTAGAGGCGGAGCAGCAAGCTGAGGCTGCTGCTGATGCTGCAGGATCTGCTACTGCTAGTACTACTGCAGCTGCTGCAGCAAACTCTGCTGCAAGCTCTGTTGCTGCAGCTCCAAAGAGGTCAAACACCCAGACACGGCAGAGGGCTGTGTCATTCCACCCGGACGTGCTTGTGAAGACGTTTGCAGTGGAGGCGGGGCAGCTGAGGCGCAAGGTGGTGAGAAAGAGGCGGCACAGACAGCAACTGATCGATGTGCCTGTGGCTGTTGTCGCTGCTGCTGTTGCTGCTGCTGCTGCCGCCGCCGCTGCTGCTGCTGCCATGCAGGAAGCAGCACAAACAGCAGCAGGAGCAGAAGCAGGAGTAGTAACAGCAGCAGCAGCAGCAGAAACCGTACAAACACAGAGAGCGGGAGAGGGGGAGGCAGTGGCACTAGCACAAGCAGCAATGCAGGGGGAGGCAGCGGGAGAGGCAGAGGAAAACACAGAGGGAGAAGCAGAGGGCTTAACAAGAGGAGGACATGCAAGGACAGATTTGTTAGGTGGGCAGTTATGCGCCTCAGAAGCAGAGTCTGCTGCAGCAGCCACAGCAGCAGCAGCACCAGCAACAACAAAGATGGACGAGGCACAGGAGAGCGAGCAAGCACGCAACCCATTACCGGAGAGTTTCATGGTGTATCAAACAGCAGACGCGGTTCCACACATTGTCCCACATGCCATGCCACACCCCGTACAGCTAGCCTGGATATTACACCAGCTCCCCTTCTTTCATACCCAGATGCAGGCCTCTCCGTTACAGTTGGAGAGCCCTCATGGGTCATCCGTCCCTCTTCAGGCTCCTCTTCAGGTGCCGTTTCTGCTGCCGCCCCAGGTGCCACCTCAGGTGCCGTTTCAGGTGCCGTTTCAGATGCCTGGTGATGTTCGTTGGCCGGCGCTCCAGGCACCTGGTCAGGTGCCTTTTGAGCTGCTCGGAGGAACGCCTGTGGAGATCAGATCTATGTGCCAGGGTGGATCAAGTGACGTGGCGTTTGGTAACCAGCCTGCTTTGGCTGGGGCTCATTGTGTGTCAGCAGCAGTGCCAGGAGAAGCAGAGAGGGATGCATGGTCACAAAACGAGGTCTCTGGGTTGCAGCCAACAGTGGTTGATGGGGAAATTGAATGTGAGGGTGATGGGGCAAGAGGGGAAGAGGGGGTGGTTGTGGTGTTGGAGACATGGAGATAGGTGGTTTGGGTGGGACAGATGATGTGACGGGGAATGGGCTGGAATGCCAACAGCAGCAGCAAGGGGAAGAGGTAACGAAGAAAAAACCCAAGGGAAAGCAGAACACAACAAGAGAAAAAAGGATGGTGAAGAAGAGCAAACATGTGTCTAGCACGGTGAAGTGAAGTGAATACTTTGTGCTGTAGTTATTTTTTTTTTTTATTGTACATAATTGTACCTGTACGACCTAGTACAGCCACTATGGACTTCAATGTTCCTGCCAGTTTTTGGATTTGACATACCCTTATAATCAGTGTACCTGTAGCTCGAAAAACTGATTATCAGTGTGACCCCCTACGGAAAATCTTTCCTGTCAGGGTTTTCTTAACTTTGAAAAAATTTACCCTGTCACACTGTAAACCTGGCCAATAGTGGCCCACTTTGTGCCAGCACAGGAGTTGTCAAGGCCGAAATTCCGGCCTCGACAGTTGCCTTGGTGGAATCCCAGGTTACGGGAAAGGGGGGGTGTACCGGGGGGGGGGGGGGGGGGGGGTGGGGGGGTAGGTTACGCGTTACAGGGTAGAACTTGCTACGAGAATTGGAAACCGTTGGGCATCAGTGTGCCTTACACAAAAAAACTGACACATCAGGGTAAATCAATCTCCCCAAAAAAACACCCTAGGCCATCAGTTTGACCCCCAAAAACCACCCTGATAATCAGGGTATCAGGGTGATTTACCCTGATAAATTTTGCCCTGATCAGGGTAAATCAATCTCCCCAAAAAAACACCCTAGGCCATCAGTTTGACCCCCAAAAACCACCCTGATAATCAGGGTGATTCACCCTGATAAAATTTGCCCTGGTGCATACAATCTGAGTTGCCAGTTAGTTACTAACCACATAAATTAACATGCAATACTGTATAATCAAGGTTGTGCTCCCATCAAGGCCATAACGGGCATCCCAGACACTGACGTGGCGCCTCTCCCCAGTGACGCCAATCACTGGTGACGCCCCGTCAGCCAGCACACCTGCGATGCGTCCAGGCTCTCAGTCAAGCGCTGATTCGCTCCGCAAGGAGCCAATGTTCGAGCTCCACGCGCGCATGGACTGATGGATGGGAGCACAAGGGACGCCAACTTGGGTGTTTCTCGTCTGCCCGTTCATGAAAGCGTTACCATATTGAGAAACTTAGCTAAGTTTTTCTTCAGACCATCTATTGTCGTTCGGTATCCGCCTCGACACTGACCCACGCAAGCAGGTACAGGGCACTTGGCGCGCCAGCAAGCATGCGTCCCCAACAAGCATCTGAAACCAGGGCTATCCAATCGCTCATCGCGCTGTGACAATACTCACGACTGGTGGATTCCCCTCCTCGGGATTGGTTCTCTTTGCTCTGCCCAACCCAACCCCGCCTGTTGAACATCGGGTTTCAGAACGAGGTTCCAACAATACCTCGGAAACCCTTTGTTACCGTCCTCAATGTCTTAGCAACCGCAAGATTGAGGCATGAAAGTCCTCAGGGCGTGGAATATATCCTCTAGGGACTATGTCAAAGTCTGAATTAGGGGATCGTAGACGGTACATTATTGTACGATTACGTTACAGAACGTTTGAATACGGTGAATGGCGTTGAGTGTGCGAATCGAGGGATGATTTCCAGGATGTTCCAAAGCAGGCGTGAAGCAGTCCATCGCGGCCCTGTATTACAATACAGAGTAGGGAAGCAGCTTATTCATCCCTGCTACTAGCTAGCTTCAGGAGCAGTTTAGTGCGATACTAGGTTTTTTTTCATCCATTTCCGTACATCTCTGCTAGCTCCAATCCGGCGGGGTTGTCGTCTTGACGTGTCCGCTCTTACCGGTGTGGACTAACGGAAACGGTGGATTCGTTTCAGGACGCTACCTCGTTTACGTCGGTGTCTGCTCGGCAAGTAGCGTCACGGCATTGGAGCCTCTACGCGACGCGCGCTCGTAACACAAGTTAGCTTGAAACTTCTTAAAACTTAGAATTCTCGTCCGCCGTCGTTTCTGTAAAGGTCGGCAGCAATTCTCGCAGTCTCATTTTCAAAACAAGCAGCGTGTCGCATCAGATATGGCGGGTGCTGGGGGTCTCACCCTGGCGTTTCGATGGCTGGAGGACGTGGCGTCCCCGTTATTCTTCACCTTGATACTAGCGTGGATGCTGTACACCGTCATGCACACTGTATTCACGTTCAAGAATAGCGAGATGACTATAACGAGGAAAATCGAAGAGAAGGGAGAAGGAGTGGGGGAAGATGAGGAGGAAGAAGAAGAGGGATGGAATCAAGTGGAGATGCACGAGGCAGAAGAAGACAAACCGAGCGAGCTCGGAACCGACAACGCTTGTGACGCGCACGGTGACACTAGCGATGATGATATTGTCGAGGTGCCTCCTGCTGCTGCTCCTGTCTCCAGAGGAAATCTAGACCCGTCGCAAGGAGATTCACCTGATGCTCCAGTCACGTTAAAAGACACACTTAACGACGCACTTAGTGACGCTTTACCCGGTGTCGTGGAAGCTTCCGCCATTTCTCCCACTAGCATCCCCATTTCCTCAGCTGCTCACGCCACCACGACTGCTATAGCCGCCACCGACACTTCTGCGGAACCTTCCGCCGCTTCCGCTTCGCCCGCCGCTTCCACCGTGTCCGCCGCTTCCGCTCCGCCTCCCCCTTCCGCTTCTCCCGCCTCTTCCGCCGCTCCTGCGCCTTCCGCTCCTCGTGACCCGGAAGAAGCCAGCCGGGGGGACGGGGAGAGCGACGACGACTGGGAGGGCATAGAGGCGTCAGAGGCGGAGGATCGATTCTCGGCGGCGGCAGCTTTAGTGACGACCATGGCGGCTACTGGGAATCTGCGGATTGGAGAGGGGCTGCAGCTGCTGCTGTACGCTCTGTACAAGCAGGCGAGCGACGGGCCGTGCGATGCTAAGCAGCCGGCTGTTTACAACTTTAAAGCGCGGGCGAAATGGTGAGTGAGTGAGCATTCTTTCCCTGATACACAGGGCTGCAGCCACTGCTGCAGCTGCTGCTGTATGCGCTGTACAAGCAGGTGAGCGACGGACCGTGCGACTCCAAACAGCCTGCCGTCTACAGCTTCACAGTAGTGATGGTTGCCATGTGACTGAATGGTTGGTTCTTGTACTCGTTACTGCTGTGTTCGTGCTCGCTACAGGGACGCGTGGAAGAAGCTGGGGAGCATGAGTCAGGACGAAGCGATGGCGCAGTATGTGGGGCTGGTGGAGCAGATGATTCCCAACCCCAACGAGGTGAGAGGCATGGGCAGGTGATGAGGAGAGTGGCATGTGGGTGGGGGTGTGTGTATACCTCTAGTGCGCTGGAGCATGTCTCTGCATGAGTCAGGACGAGGCAATGGCTCAGTGCAGTATGTGGGGCTGGTGGAACAGATGATTCCGAACCGCGATGAGGTGAGAAGTGTGTGGGGGCGATGAAGTAACTGCTTCTGGGTCGGTTTTGGGGGGGTGGAATGGCGCATGAGTCATGAGTTGGGGACGAGGGCATGGCATGGTGAGAAGGGCAGCGGGTGGGCAAGGCTTGTGAGAATTATCTGGGACATGGTTACCCGCTGGCCACCTTCCCCTTGGAAAAAATAAAATTTCAAAGATTTTCTAGCTTATTGTATGCATCCAATCCCTTTTCAAACTCTCTTCCCCGCAGGGATCCAAGGGCGGAGATGGGGGAGGGGGAGGGGCAGGCGGAGGGGGAGGGGGAGGGGCAGGGCGGGGTGTGAGTACTATGCTGATGGCGGAAGGAGGGGAGGAGAGCGAGGGGGGGAAGGTGGGGGATAATGGGGAAGGGGGAGAGGGTGGAACAGCAGCAGCGGACAGCAGTGGCTCTGGTTTTGGGTGAGTCTGTTTTGCACTCCTTTCCGTCATCCCCCCACATCCTCCATCGCCCCCCCGCATTCTCTCTCGGCCTTCCTCCCATTCCTTGTTTTTCCTCAATCTCCTTCAGTCTTCTTTCTACGGCTTCTTCTCCCTTCCCGCCGCCACTCCGCATCCCACATTCTTCCAATTGTGACCTTTCCCTTCTCTCCTCTTTCCCTTTACCTTCCCCTTCCCACCCCTCCCATAACCTACTCGTTACCAGTCGCCTGCATGCATTGGCGAGTGCTGACGTGGAGGACACGTCAGCAGTGGAGGAGTGGATAAAGCAACACCCCGAGGCTCTGGAGCAGAGAGGTGAGATGCAGTGCATGTCGGTGGCATGTGGTCAGTCCGGTTCTGGGATGTGGTGCAGAGCGTTTTGATGTGGTGAACGTGGAGTGGCGGAAATGGCACAGATTTTTTTTCTATGACTGTGTGCATGTGCACTTCTGTTTTGCATCAATACTGTTCCTCGAATCATGGTAAGTCTCTCTTCTGTGTTTGTACTCCTGCTACCAGACGACGAAGGCCGGACGGCGTTGCACTGGGCAGCAGACAGGGGCAAGCTGACCATGACTCGGTGCTTGCTGGCTCATGGCGCTGACGTCAACCAAACTGTAAGCCCCTGCCTCCCCAACCTGGTCTGTCAAAACTGCACTGCCTTCCCTCGAAAAGACTCACAAAGGGGCAAGCTAGCCATGACTCGGTGCTTGCTGGCTTAAGGTGTCGACGTCATTCAAAATGTGAGTCCCTGCTTCCCTGCTCGGTTCTCCTGGAATCGCCCTGCCCCTTCCTCCTCCTCTCTTTTAACCCACTTTCCCCTCCCTTCTACATGACTCGCAAAGTGGAAAGCTAGCGATGACTTGGTTCTTGCTGGCTCAAGGCGCTGACGTCAACCAAACCCCCCTGGGTCAAGTCACTGCTTCCTCATCTGAGTTCCTCAAATCCCCCCTTCCCCTCCCACTTCCCCCCTTTTTTTCCCGCTTCTACCCTCTCCCCCTCAAACCCCCCCTCTAATTCAAGTGACACAAAAAGGTTACAGCTGGCCGATGGTGCTGAAGCTGTGAGCCTCTGCCTCTTCATTTCAACCACGACGATGAGGGCCAGACTCCCTTGCATTACGCTACAGTGAGCGAGCACTAAGCCATTCACTGTCCTCATTTCGTTACAGCTCTTCCCCCCCTCCCCTGCCCCCCTCCCCTTTCTCCCCCCTTCTTCCCTCCCACGTCCGACCATTCACTCACACGTGGCCTCTTAACTTCTACCAGGACGATGAGGGTCAGACTCCCTTGCACTATGCTACAATGTGCGAGCACGAATCAGCCGCCTTTTTTCTCCCCTTCTCTCCTTTCTCTCCCTTCCCCCTCCCACTCCTATCCAACCAGGACGATGAGGGTCAGACCCCCTTGCACTATGCTACAGTGTGCGAGCACGAATCAATCGCCGACCTTTTGCTGGAGAATGGAGCCGATCCATGCCACCCGGACAACGAGGGCACTCGCCCCAAGCATATCCGCCCGGCCTCTTGGTCTGCTCCGGCTTGGACCGGGTCCGGCTGAGGTTCGGAAAAAAAGCTACATTCAAGCTCGGAGCAGGTTGAGAGCAGGCTCTGCTGGTTGGTTGGAGGTTGGTTGGATGCGGGACAGTTGAAGGAGAGCAAGAGAGGACTTAAAGTGGCTGTGTTCTGTAAATACTTAGCAGCCAAACAGCCATTTGGGTGGTTCGGCACTTGGCAGGAGCAGAAGATGGATGGTAGTTTGATCACAAACTGTGGGTTATGGTCTAGGACGTGTAACAATGTAATCATGTTAATGAGAATGTTTGTTCTACTTTTGAGTTAGGTATGATACCTGATGGAGCTGTGTCTGGAAGTCCAAAAATCTCTTGTGTAGTTTTTGATGCAAAGGAGCAAAGTGCGCCGCCCGTGGGGCTCGAACCCACGACCACAAGGTTAAGAGCCTTGCGCTCTACCGACTGAGCTAGGGCGGCTGATTCCCAATTAAAGAGCAAATTATACTTTAATTTTATAGTTTGAGATCAATTCGTCTTCCCGACTTTCAAGCTCTCATCACATCCACCAGCATGGCTGCGTCTCTCCTCGTCGCGTTGCTCCTCGCCAGCGCCAGTCTCGGCCAGCAGCGCCTTGTGGCGGCCAAACCCAACATCGCCGAATCCCAAGGTGCCCTGCAACATCTTAGCAGCATCGCTGCTATTTGGTGCATCTCCGCGCATCTCCGCATGCCTTGTTCTGGCCGCGATTGCCTAATTTTGCCGGCATTCTTTAATCGCCGCCTCCATTGCCTAACCTTAGCCTTCCTCCCCCCCTTCCCCCCTCCCCCCCTCCTCCCCATCCCCTTCCCGCTTCCTCTCCCACCGTCGCGCGTCCGCCGATGGGCTGGCGGCGCTGCAGATGGCGTGGGGCGAGCTGGTGCCGTCTTATCTTGAGGATTGTTTTTGAAAATTCTTGAGAATTCTGGTTTTTGAGAATTCTCAAAAACCAGCTCGTGTCTTGAGTATTGACAACACTACAGGTGGTGGATATAACTATTCCAACCAGCACCCATCCCCAACCATCTCCACCCATCTCCACCCACCCATCGCCACCCACCCCCGCCCATCCCCGCCCATCCCTGCTCATCCCATCCCCTCCATTCCGCCCCACATCGGCTGATGGGCTGGCAGCGCTGCAGATGTCGTGGGGCGCGCTGCAGCCATGTCGTGATGGTGGTTAGACATACTCCATGTCGTGTCATCCCTGCTCATCCCATCCGCTGTCGTGTCGTGATGGTGGGGCGCGCTGCAGCCACCACACAGCATGTGGTGGTTAGCCACAACACAGCATGTGGTGGTTAGCCACAACACAGCATGTGGTGGTTAGCCACAACACAGCATGTGGTGGTTAGACATATTCCCATCCCATCCATGTCTGTTCCCCATCTCATCCCATCCCGTCCCGTCCCATCCCACTTACCCATATCAGCCGATGGGCTGGTGGTGCTGCAGATGGCGTGGGGAGCACTGGAGCCATCGTGAGTCTTTATTTGACTTTTGAGTCGACAGGTGGCGTGGCGGCAAAAAAGTACTGCAGGTGGTGGCGGGTATAAATCCCCGCCCATCCCCGCCCATCCCCGCCCATCCCCACTCTTCCCACCGTCGCATGTCAGCTGATGGGTTGGCAGTACTGCAGATGGCGTGGGGCGAGCTGGAGCCATCGTGGGCCGTTGGATCGGACTGCAGCAAGGCCTTGGGATTGTCGTGCGATGATCAGGGCCGGATCGTTGCCATGTGAGTGCGATGCGACGGCCTGCAGTGCATGGAAGGAAAGATGCCGCTGTCTGCTCTGTAACTTGGTAGCAGCCAAGTTGGTTTGACTTTTGAGAATTCTCAAAGTCTAACCGACTTGGTGGAAGTAGATTGGTGTTGAGTTACCGCTGCCTGCTGTCTTAAAGCAGATCATTGCCGTGTGAGTGTGATGCAACAGCCCTCTCCATAGCACATACATGGAAACATGGATTCTTTTGTCCGACTTTCAAACTAGCAACTTACGGAGGACAGGAGTAGTACAGAGTAAGTTGCCTGGTAAGATGGTAACTACTATGCAGAGCACGATAGTGGGGAGAGTTTCCGACTTTCAAACCTGTTATGTTGGTCTTGACCTGAGATGAGACGTCTATGAAGCAATGTGTTCTGTTATAATAATTTTTGCAGTGTGTCGTTACCACTGCTGACGTGGCGCACACAACCGCAGGCATGACATGACACACAACTGCTGACGTGGCACATTCATTTTGACATGCGTGTTCATGCTGTGTTATGCTCCCCCTCTTCTCCTACTCCCATGCTGATGTCAGCAACCTGCCAGCTGGCAACATATCCGGGTATCTTCCCGAGGGGATCAGCACACTGAAGAGCCTGCAGCAGATGTGAGCGGGGGTGCGGTGCGGTGTGCAGTGGTATGCTGTGGTGTTATGTGGTGCTGTGCGGTGCTCCACGGTGTTCTGTGGTACTCTGGTGTCTGTGGTGTTTCAGCTCAGGTCCCTCCACGTGGATTTTTCTTTTCGAAGAATGCCCACACCTGCCTACCATGCCCGCACCTGCCTACCATGCCCACACCTGCCTACCATGCCCACACCTGCCTACCATGCCCACACCTGCCTACCATGCCCACACCTGCCTACCATGCCCACACCTGCCTACCATGCCCACACCTGCCTACCATGCCCACACCTGCCTACCATGCCCACACCTGCCTACCATGCCCACACCTGCCTACCATGCCCACACCTGCCTACCATGCCCACACCTGCCTACCATGCCCACACCTGCCTACCATGCCCACACCTGCTTACCATGCCCATACCTGTCCACCCCTGCCCACACCTGCCTACCCATGGCCACCCATGCCTTACCAGCTCTTCAGTTCCCACCATGTGGTGTATCTCAATATGAGTGCCCACCCCTGCCCACCCCTGCCTACCCCTGCCCACTCCTGCCTACCCCTGCCCACCCCTGCCTACCCTATCCGTGCAGATCCCTGCCCAGCAACCAGCTCTTCAACTCCCTCCCCCTCTCTGTGTCTCTGCTCACCAACCTCACTTCCATGTATGCTTGCACCATGCCATCGTGCATACATGCACACACATGTGTCGGCCCCACATGCACACACACGTGTTGGCCCCACATGCATGTATGTGTGTATGCCATCCATCTCACTTGTATGTGTTGTGGCTCACCGACCTCACTTCCATGCATTGCGTTGCATGCATGCCATCGCACGCACAAGCATGTACGCATGGATGCCACTGCATGTGCCTTTCGCAGTTCAGTTTGTTTTGATGAAGAAAAAAAAAATTGTGTATCACCCACCAAACACCCACGCTCTCTGATTACTCCTGCTGCTTCTCTGTTTTATTTTTATCCCCGTTAGTGAGCTATCCAATAACAACATAACGGGCTCCATCCCTCCAGCTTGGTTTCAGCTTCGAGATCTCAATATCCTGTAAGCTCCGTACCAACCCAAGTAGTAAGTCGATTTTTGAGTCGACTCAAAAATCAAACCATACCAAGTATTGAGTTTTTTGGCATTCTGTGCTTCTTCCCTTCCGTTAACCGTGTAATTCCATGCGAATCTCGTTCTCATCAGTTTCTTCTGTTCCGATTCGCACCTCAACGCTTTTTCTCCCTTCAATCCCATCCCCTCCCCTTCCAACCTGCTCCCTTGGCCCTCCACCTCCTCCCGCTCCCATTGCACCTGCTCCACTCTCCCCCTCCTAAACGGCAGAGACCTGTCTCGCAACCGCCTCACCTCCTCCCTGCCAGATGCCTTTGACCCGCTCGCATCTCTGCACCTGCTGTAAGATCACACTGCTGCACTGCTGCTCATGCCTCACGCCTGCTCTCTTTTCTTGTACATCATTATGGCCTGTTCCAAGCACAAGCACTCCCCATCCGCCTCACCTCCTCCCTCCCAGACGCCTTTGACTCCCTCGCCTCTCTGCACATGCTATAAGCACTGCCTTTGAGTCGACTCAAAAGTGTGTTTTGAGTCGACTCAAAACACACCAAGCACACCCATCTGCCTCACCTCCTCCCTCCCATACGCCTTTGACTCCCTCGCATCTCTGCAGATGCTACAAGCACCGCCTTTTGAAGGCACTACATTCTTCCCATGCTGCACGTGCGTTCTAAGCAACTTTTAAGGCGCCTAGAAAGGCATTGCTATCTTTCCTTCCCCAGAAGCCTCTCATCCAACAGCTTTTAAGGCACCCTGCCTCTCTCCCTCCCAGCGACCCACAAATATTTCCAGCATCCTTTGCAAACCCCACATTTTTCCGCCTATTTTCTTCCACCCTCCCCTTTCTTCCCACCTTTCTTCACCACCCGCAGCAATCTCTCGTCCAACAGCTTCTCAGGGAACCTTCCACCGTCCATTGGCAATCTCAACTTTCTCGAGAAGCTGTACGCACGAGCTGATCTGCTTCTGTTCGTTCTTCTTATTTGTTTCTACTCACAGTTTTCCCCTTTTCCAATGCAGACACCACGTGCCTTTCCAGCCGGTTTACGCAGTCCTTTAGCACCTCCCATGCACTTCTCTTGCACCTTTCCACCTCCTTGCTCTTTTGGGGGGTCGCCATTTTCCCCCTTCCCCCCCCCCCCCCCCCCTTTCCCCCTCCCCCTCTCCCCCCTAGCCTTCCACATTCGCTTCTTTCTTCGCTCTTGCTTGCTCCCGGTGGCTCTAGCCCAGCTCTCCTCCCTCACGCTTCTTGACATATCAGACACTCTGCTCACTCCCGCTCTACTGTCTCCCTCTTGTTTGAAGAAGTGTTTTGAGACGTCTCAAAACACTTCTTCAAACCCGCTCTACTGTCTCCCTCTTTCTCTCTCCACGTTCCCCTGTCTCTCCCCCTTTCTTTTCACCCCCAGGGACCTCCACTCCAATCCTTTCTCCGGCACACTCCCTGCGGCTCTAGCCCAGCTCTCCTCCCTCACGCTCCTGGACGTATCAGCCACAGGCCTCCTCTGCCCTTTGGGGGAAGGCACCTGCCCCAGTTACACCGTCTCCATGTCTTCCCTCTACTGCGATATGTGTGCCTCCTACTGCCGCTACTGCAACGACCCCAGTGAGTGGTTGGACGGATGGGGGTGCCTTGGGGAAGAAGGTGCAGAATGAGTACTTGAAGAAGGGGGATACTCAAGTCTTCCTCACAAGACATCTGCCCCAGTCACCCCGTCCCCATGTCCTCCCTCTACTGCAATATGTGCACCTCTTTCTGCCCCTCCCTTTTCTTATTGCTTCCAGGCATTGATCACACCCCCCTTGCGCCAACACCAGCACCAGCACCAAACTCCCCCACAACTGGGGGAAAATCCCCGCCACCATCCCCTGCATCAACCCCAGCACCAACAGCACCACCACCACTTCCCAATCCCTCTCTCCAGTCACCACCTCCCCCTGCTACCACCCCACCGTCCACATCTCCCCCCAGCCCCCCTCCTCCCTCTCGCTCGGCCTTTTCTGCCCACATCCACTCTCCTCCCGCCCTATTGTTCCGCCTTTCCCTCCTCGCCATGGCTCTCCTGCTGCCTGTACCACTGTTGTAATAAGGTGTGAATGTAACTTGTCGTAAAATAAAGGTTTCGGGGTTAGGGTTTGGGCTTCAGCAACAGCACCAGCAGCAGCATTGCTCGAGAAGTTGTTCCTTCCTTAGCATCGACATCTAGCAGTAGATATAGTAGACAGTTGGATGATGGATCATGCAGGGTGTTTTGTTGTTGTATGTTGATCTGCCATGAAATATTTCTTTGATCTCTCAAGCCTTAGACGGCAATGATATATGAAATCGTACCGTGCAATTCATGTACGGCACTGCGCCCGAAGAAAAAACAGAATGGCAAGTAGCGCATCGCATGCCACAGTTGTATAGACTGGCTTGCGCGCACGACTTGGCTTTTATAAACCCAGAAGAACTTATTGTAACTAGGAAGTGGCCAATCCAGTTGACCTTTCACTTGACATCACACTAGCCATTTCTGCAGCTGCACTTGTTACAGCTGCTTATTCTCCTAACCACTGGTTACCAATCAACTGGTAACACCATGTGGTTACCACTCAACTGGGACCAACAGGAGATCACCACTCACTCAACTGGTAACCGTACTTGACATCTCATCGTCTGCAGCAGCATCCCCCACCTCCCCTCCACCGCCCGCCTCAACCACCCCGGGCGGCACAGCACCGTCTACCACACCACCGGGCGGCGCAGCACCGGGCGGCGCAGAACCGGGCGGCAGGCTTCTGGCATTTAGCCAGGCGATAATATCCCCAACCACCCTGGCGATGACGTCGTCAGGTTCGCCGCATGTGAGGGCGTGCCAGCACCCCTCGTAGATCTTGATTTCCTTATCGGAGCTGGAAGAGCGAATGAAGAGCTCCTGGCTGGCTGCTGGGTCCGTCACCATGTCCTTTGCTCCGTGAAGAATAAGGAGGGGGACTGTCACCTGGAGACAGGGGAGTGGAGTGGGGTGGAGTGCGGTAAGTTGCCGTGTGCACCCCATCAGCTCCTGGCTGGCTGCTGGATCGGTCACCATGTCCTTGGCCCCGTGCAGAATGAGGAGGGGGACTGTCACCTGTAGACAGCGGATGTGGTGTGGGGTGGGATGCGGTGCGTTCAAGACCTGTGCCCCCCATCAGCCCTGGCTGGCTGCTGGGTCTGTGACCACGTCCTTGGTCCCGTGGAGAATCAGGAGAGGGACTGTGATACATGGTATTAAGACCCCCTCTCATTCTCACCTCCTCCATGTGTGCGCCAATGTCCTGGGTTGTTCGCAGCAGCTGCAGCGCCGTGGCGAGACGGGGCTTGTCCTGATATGCAAAGGGGTGATTCTCCGCCCTCTCCCGCTTTTCTGGTACCTGATCAGGTTTGCACGCACACAGGAACACACAGGGTGAGTCTTGAGAAGGGAAAGATGCAGGACGCATCATGCGTGATATGCAAAGGGGTGATTCTCTGCCCTCTCCCGCTTCTCCGGCACCTGATCAGGTGTGCACGCACACATAAACGCGAGCGAACACACACATGATAGCATGGGAAATGAGGCTTGTGAGGTCTGGGAAGACCACCAGCAGGCATGGACGCATGGAATAGCATAGGAAACATGCAGCGGCGGCATGATAGAAGTTAAGTTTTGAGACGTCTCAAAACTCTAACTTTATCACGAGGTCTCGGAATACCACCAGCAGGCATACACGCATGGAATGGCATATGAAACATACAGCGGTTGTCACTGACATGGCATCTGTCCCTGTTTTCACCTGAAGGAGGTTCTCTGTTGTATTCACCTGAAAGCAGACGTCAGGGTTGGCGCTGACAGGCACCAGCTTCCAGGTGGGGAAGATGTATGATAGGCACTTCAGAACAAAGATGACTGGTGCCGGGGGGATTAGCTCTTGCGCCATCTGGGAGGGAGAGAGGTGTGAAAGGGGGTGAGGATAAGAGGAACGCAGAAGAGCGGGGAGGTAGGGGGAAAGAATAAGACATCTATGAGAGGCATTTGAGAACGAAAATCACTGGTGTTGGGGGGATTAGCTCCTCTTGGGCCATTGGGAGAGATAGAGGAGGAGAAGTAGAAGAGGAGGGGAGAAAGAAAGAAGGGGAGATCTTACACCACAGTGCACACACTGAGTTGGTCGTACTCACCTTGCACATGGGTGCCACCAGCACTGCTCCGCTCCAAGGGGTGGGATCTCGACTCGCCATAGAGCACAACACAGCCCTTCAACACCAACCTGCACCACTCAGAACCACGCTACACCGCACTGTATTGACCTTGCACATGGGTGCCACCAGCACTGCTCCGTTCCAAGGGGTGGGGTCGTCCCTCCTTGCCACTTGAATCGCCATCGCCCCTCCCATGGACTCGCCACACGCAATATGACACTTCTACACCACATATTATCCCACTACACCGCACATCACACCGAGCTAGTAGCGACCTTACACATGGGCGCCACCAGCACTGCTCCGCTCCACGGGGTGGGATCACTCCTTGCCATCACGCACAACCATACTGTACCGCACTGCACACACCCACTTGGCACTGACCTTGCACATGGGTGCCACCAGCACTGCTCCGCTCCACGGGGTGGGATCCCTCCTTGCCACTTGAATCGCCATGGCCCCTCCCATGGACTCGCCATAGAGGAAAAACGGCAGGTGGGCGAACCTAGGCTTTGCTGGGGCGGGAAGGGAGGGGATGTTGGGGAACGGGAAGTGAGGAAAGAGGAAGTGTGATTTGAGTCGACACAAAACACTTGGATTGCCATCGCCCCTCCCATGGACTCGCCATAGAGGAAAAACGGCAGTGCACGGACCTAGGGTTTGCTGGTGGGGACGGGGGGAAGGGGTGTGCGGTAAAAGAGGAGACATGTTTTGAGTAGTCAACTCTAAGAACACAAATCGCCATTGCCCCTCCCATGGACTCGCCATAGAGGAAAAACGGCAGGTGGGCGAACCTGGTTTTGCTGGGGAAAAAAAAGGAGAGAGGGAGGTAAGGAGGCGGTGGAGGGGGGAGATGGATTAGGGGAGATGGAGTGGTGGGAAACGGAGGCCTCTGGAGAAAAGTGGAACATCTCAGATACAGGCAAACTTCGTAAACTCTAAACTGGAATAAGGAAAAGAGAGAGAACACCCACATACAGGCAAACTCCCCTTTCTCTTCTCCCTGCCCTGCCTATCCAAACCCCATCTCCCCTTGCCCCACTGATAGGCAAACAACATCCCCACCTCCATGACATCGTCTGCCAGTCGAGTGAAGCTAAGGATGTACCCGTGGCGACTGGCTGACAGAAGAAACAACCCGTTCCACCGCTTTCAACTCCTCTCCTTACCTCTCAACCGGTTGGCGAATTCAATCACGTCGTCTGCCAGTTGAGTGAAGCTGCGGATGTACCCGTGCCGTCCGGCTGATAAGCCGTGGCCTTCATAATCCACTCCCACTAGTGCATAGCCTGCTGCTGCCAGCATCATTGCGACATCTGGTGGAAACAGAAGGGGAAGAAAGAGACAGTGAGGAGGAGAGGGGGACAGAGAGAGGGAGAGTGTATCTGTGGCGACCAGCTGACAGGCCGTGGCCCTCATAATCCACTCCCACTAGTGCATACCCTGCTGCTGCCAGCATCATTGCCACATCTGATGGAAGGGGAACGGGAAGAGGAGACAGAGGGAATTGAAGGGGAGTTACTTTGAGAAGATTACCCGTGCCAACCGGCTGAGAGCCTGTGGCCCTCATAGTCCGCTCCCACCAGTGCATAGCCTGCTGCTGCCAGCATCATTGCCACATTTGATGGGAATAGAAGTGGGAGAAGAGGGCGCGAGGGACAAAGCGGAGGGTGGATGGAGGAGTGGTGGCGAGGGGTGTAAATGGAAGAGTGTACTCGTGCCGACCGGCTGACAGGCCATGGCCCTCGTAGTCCACTCCCACCAGCGCCCACATCTGGTCGTGGGAGAAGGAGAAGAGCAAAAAAGAGGCGTCACTTGGAGCAGTGTAGCCCTGACGACCGGCTGATAAGCCGTGGCCCTCGTAATCGACTCCCACTAATGCATGCATCATTGCCACGTCTGGCGGGAACAGGGGGGACGGAGAAGAGGGGGGTTGGGGAGGTGGGGGGGGAGGGGTGCAGACGAGAGAGTATTTGTGGTGAGGTGACCGGCTAACAGGCCATGGCCCTCATAATCCACTCCCACGAGTGCATAGCCTGCTGCTGCCAGCATCATTGCCACATCTGGCAGTGGGAGAAGGAGAAGAGCGAAAAAGTGGCGTTACTTGGAGGAATGTACCCGAGGAGTCTGGCTGATGAACCATGCCCCTCATAGTCCACTCCACTCCCACCAGCGCACAGGCTGCTGCTGCCAGAAAGGAAGAGAAGGGGAGGAAGAGACAGCACGGAGGAGAGGAAGGACAGACAGAGGGAGAGTGTATCTGTGGAGACCAGCTGACAGCCCGTGGCCCTCGTATTACACTCCCACGAGCGTGTATACAGCTGCTGCCAGCATCACCGCAGCATCTGAAAGGAACAGTGAGAGGGGGAGCAATGGGAGAGCATGATAGAGCAGAGAGACGCACATGCATGCACATCTCCCCGTACCCATGGCAGAACAGCAGCACCACGCCCCTCAGAGTGTTGCCATGCCCCACCATTCTCCTCCACCCACAGGCACACCCCATACATCCATACCCATTTCCCACCTTCAAAGATGTACGTGCATGTCTCTCCATACCCGTGGCAGAACAGCACCACGCCTCTCAACTGCTTACTGCTGTGAGGCTATACCTATACGCATGCCCAAGCCCACGCCCATACCTTCAAAGATGTACGTGCACGTCTCCCCGTACCCATGGCAGAACAGCACCACGCCCCTCAGCCGGCCGTCACTGGGCAGCCATTCTTTGGTAAACAGCTCCACTCCGCGTGAGTTGATGAAATACTCCTCAGCAGAAGCCACACCATGCGAGGCCTGAGGAGCAAAAGGAGATTGTTTTTGGGTGGGGACAACAACAAAGGCATTCCCTTGGTGAACAGCACGACGCCTCTCAGCCGCCCGAGCAGCCACTCTTTTGTGAAGAGCTCCACTCCCCGCGAGTTTACGAAATACTCCTCGCTGGAGGCCACGCCGTGCGCGGCCTGAGGGAGGGAAAGGCAGGGGCAAGAAAGGAAAGCATAGGGTTAGAACAGCACCACACCACACCTCTCAGCCGCCCGTCGCTGGGCAGCCACTCTTTTGTGAAGAGCTCCACTCCCCGCGAGTTTATGAAATACTCCTCAGATGAAGCCACGCCTTGTGCCGCCTGGGGACGGGAAAGGCAGGGGCAAGAAAGGAGAGCATTGGGTTGGAACAGCACGACGCCTCTCAGCCGGCCGTCACTGGGAAGCCACTCTTTCGTGAAAAGCTCGACACCCCTCGCGTTTATAAAATACTCTTCAGATGATGCCACGCCTTGTGCGACCTGTGGCTATGGGGAGCAGAGACCCAACGAGGCAGAGGTAGAAGCAGACGGGGAGAGGGAGGGGCAGCCACTCCTTGGTGAAAAGCTCCACTGCCCTCGCGTTTGTGAAACACTCCTCAGATGAAGCCACGTTACGTGCGGCCCGAGAGAAGGAGGGGGCGGCAGTAACTGGAGAGACGAGTGGGGGAAGGGGGCATGGACGACCAACCGAAGAACCAGAGGCAGTTTTGAAAGGATCGCGTTCCTGACACCGACTTAGTCAGCGTCGACTTAAGCGAACAGATCCTCAGGTGAGTAGCTGTGAGGTGCATATTGAGGCGCCTCAAAATGCAACCGAAGAACCAGAGGCAGTTTTGAAAGGATCGCGTTCCTGACACCCATGTAGTCAGCGTCGACTTAAGCGAACAGATCCTCAGGTGAGTAGCTGTATCTCCCGCGATTTAACTGTGTGCAGCCTGGGAGAGGGGCAGGGGAACCGGGTTACGGGCCGCAGTCAATAACGCTCGCAATGAGACGGGAATGAGCACAGTTCCATCCCTCGCGGGTTTCGAAGCTGCGCTTATTCCCGCGAGTTTCGAAGCGGCAGGGATTCGCGCTGGGAGGAAGATGGGTGAAATGCGATCCTCTCAGGTCGAGAAAAAGTATCGATTGATTAATCCGTCTCGAGAAGAACTCACGTAGAAGCTGGGAGGCTTCTTGTGCGGTTGCCGTGCTTTGCGCCGACCGGTCTCCCATTCGAGACTCAGCGCCTTTCGCGGCCTGGTGAGCCGCTTAACTACGTAAAAGACGGCGCCTCCAAGAACGACGGCGGGAAACACGGGGCCCCACATGGTCTGTAGCGACTGCAGCTGGTACTCTAATTCTAGAAGCCTATTTCATGGAAGTTAGCGACAATGTGTAATGAAATAAAACGTGTGAAAGCTCATTAGCATGTGAACCAGCTCTAGCATATATATAGCTGGCATATGGATAAGGGGCACACTAGAGTTGCCTAGTTTACAACCAATATCGCGTATGGATAGAAAGAGGAAAAGGGAAAGAGGGAGAAGGAAAAGGGAAAGAAAGACACCAGAAACAACTCAAACGCAACACCCATAAAAATACTCCATAAAGAAAAAACCCAACCAGGATCCCCTACCAGACGTCCCATCTCGCACCCCATTCCCCCTCCCCCCCCCCCCCCCCTCCCCCCCCAAGTCACATCTGCACATCCACCATGTAGGGGGCCTCCACCCAAAGAGGCCCGCCCTCCACCTCGACATCGTCCCTCTCCCGATCCACCAAGTCCACATTCAACCCCCCCATGGAAGACGCCGCCCGAAGCAGGATGACACGAGCTTGCGCCCGTTGTAACGCCACTCTGATGAGAGCCTTCAGAGACCCCAAAAGGTAAGCCGAGAACGAAGTGTCATCCTCCCGAACGAAGTGACACAGCTAGCCCCACGTGCGCGTCCCCCTGCTGTCGAAGCCACCGCCGGAAGCGACCGCCGAGACACCCCCACGTCTCCACTATCAAAGGGGTGAACTGCACGCCTCGGTTCCGTGCAAGAAGAGGCGCGTAATCCCCCGTTTTGCGACGCTCCCACTCCTTTGCCGCCACGCCTATAGACCGCCCGCACTGCCCTAGCAGAGATGGAGACAGTGATAGCGGGTCCGCGACACTAATCTCTAAAGCATGAGCCTCCCCAGCCATTGGTCGTCGCACCGCTACGTCAACCCGCTTCCCCGGCAGCACCGCACTATCCTCCATCGTCACCACCCCCCCTGACGCCTTAGCGATCTTTGCCACCGCAAACTTCACCTCATCATGCACCCGAGATGGACCGTGTTGGTGCTTGCATCTCAGCGCATGATGCGGGTCTGCTGGGTCATCATACGCTGTGCCACAAACACACCTCCCCGCCACTTGCAGCTGCTGGATTGGGAGACCAAGCCGTATAGCAGCAGCAATGCCCCACTCCGCTGCAGTGAATGTGAGATCTGAATGAGCCGGAACTGCCGAAACCCATGCACCAGCCCCCGGGCCCTGAAGGGATGTGAAACGGGCCAGGGTGGCATCGTCACGAGCCAAGCGGCGGAGTGCCTGGAGCTCCTCAACAGCCAACTGCCGCTGCCGCGCCTGGAAAAGCCGAAGAGGAGGGGCCGCCACACACAGGGGTAAGTCCGGCAGCTCCTGGCGTATAGTCGCGGGCAACTGCTCAATGGCCTTGGCAAACCACGGGTCAAGAAGCTCCGCCCCCGCCGAAGTGGTGAGGTACTCTGCGAACATCGCCTCCTCGCCCGCCACCCCCAAATGTGCAATATCCCGTGCGGCCTGCGCCCACCCACAAACATAGGAGAGCGGACTCAAAGAGGCCGCCGCCCGGATCCCAAACCCTCCGAGGCGCACAGGGAGATGCAGCTGCATGCGTGCGCGCCTAGACCTGCCGGGGTCCTGCTCCCAAGTGCCAGGGGGGAAAAGCTGCTCAAAGCAATCCTCCAGACAGCTGTCCCACTCTCTAAAGGCCTCCACCACCTCCGGCCGCGGCGGCATAGTCCGGGCCAGGTACATCGGCCGTGCTGAAACTGCAATAGCGAGGAGATGCGAGGCCATCTGGGGGTGGTCGAGCAGGGGGAGCCACGGCAATGGCGCCTGCAACTCGCGAAGCCGCTTCCGTAATCGGGCCCCCTCCCAATCCTCCTCCCCAATAGGCACGCCCACCACAGTGAGACCCTCCTCCTCCCGCTGCATCCCCAAAGGCAATGCCCGCTCCATATCCCCACCTCCACGCTCCCAAAACCTGCACTTGTGCGCCTGCACTTCCAGCCCCACCCACTCCAACCTCTCCCGCAGCACCGTCCCCAGCACCTGCTGCTGCGTGAAAGCGAAAAGAAAAGGGCCGAGCGGGTCCCCCTGTCGCGATCCTCGTGCCGACTCAAGACTCTGTACGAAAGGGCCCGCTCGGAGGTACAGGTCGCTAGGTGTCGCTAGAAGACACGCAAGAATGGGATCATTCCTGAGAAAGGCGACTCCTTCAGCCCCTCGAACATCGCGTGGCGATGAAACGAATTGAAGGCGTTCGCGACATCTATCTGCAGCGCACACCAGTCGGGGTGAGTGGCCAGCGCTGACCGGAAAGAATGAGTAAGAATCTCCACCCCGGCCCTGGTGCCCACTCCCAGCTGGTTACACGGCAGAAAATAAGAAGCCATCACAGGGCGAAGCGAGATGCAGAGAGCTCGAGCGAGGATACGCGGAAGCACCTCCCCGATCGCCACCGGCCGGACGTCACCGTTGGGTTTGGAAAGCCCGACTAGGTTGGATGCGGCGAGCCAGGGCCGAGCTCGCTCGGGGACCTGTCCCGCCACCCATTGGTTGAACACTTCCAGCAGGTGGGAGAGGCAGGAAGGTTCCGTGAGGAAAGTGTCGCGCAGATGCTCTGTGACCCATCCCGATGGCCCTGCAGCTGAGGCGCGAGCAGCTGTGTGGATAGCTCTAGCCAGGATGTCGGTCGTGAGTGGAGGCCGCTGAGGAGCGTCGACAGTAAACTCACGAACCCACGGTGGTACCTCGCCACTGCTAGCTGGGTGCTTCCCTCGCAGCGACTGCACCATAGCCTCAGACGGTCGAGCCAACTCTCCTGCTGTGAGGCAAGCCAAACCACGGCTCCACTCTCCCACTTTACACCGAGATCGGCACCGTGACAGGCGGATGGCCTCCGGGTCCTGGTCAGAGCACGTGTAGGCAAGTGGGCGAACTGCTGGCCGTGCCGCCGCCATGGCAGCGTCGAACAACTCCCGCCACCTCCCCTCCCAGAAGGCCCCCAGCCGCTCTATGATCAGCGCCTTCTGACCTATGCCTGGCTTGGGAGGCACGGCTAGGATGAGGCACAGAAACGCCAGGAGTAGGAGGGTAGCAGCTTCATCTCCCGGTCGGCTCTTCAGCCGCTTCAAGATGCAACAGAGTGCGTCTAAGACCCCGGACCGGGCCCGCTGCGGGATCCGGCGCACTGTCCTCCCTCCAACCGCCTCCACACAGAAAAATGCCTCCCACTCCCATGACTTAACCCCTGCCCACGCCTCGTCCCCAAATTCCCGCGGCGTCGGTCGCTCCTGTGTGTCGGTCTCCACCAGAGACGGGATCGAGCCAAGTGCCTGCGCGCGTCTCTCCGCCTCAGCCGCCCGGCATACCCTCATGTGGTTCGCAGCGGCCCCTCTCGTGGCGAACGTGTGGAAACACGTGTCACACGGGAAACGGGGGCATGGGGAAGGCGGACTGGGTGGTTCTCCGTCCGCCTCTGACTCCTCCGCAGTCGCCATGGGGGTATCAAACTCCAAAAGTCGGCACCACTCCTCCAACTGCTGTTCCCGGTCGTCCATCGATCCCCCCCCTGCCTGCTGCGTACCCTGGGGTGCCCCGGGCACCCCCGGCTGCCCCCCTGCCTGCTGCACTCCCTGGGGTGCCCCGGGCACCCTCGGCTCCCCTCCTGCCTGCTGCACTCCCTGGGGTGCCCCGGGCACCCTCGGCTCCCCTCCTGCCTGCTGCACTCCCTGGGGTGCCCCGGGCACCCTCGGCTCCCCTCCTGCCTGCTGCACTCCCTGGGGTGCCCCGGGCACCCTCGGCTCCCCTCCTGCCTGCTGCACTCCCTGGGGTGCCCCGGGCACCCTCGGCTCCCCTCCTGCCTGCTGCGCTCCCTGGGGTGCCCCGGGCACCCTCGGCTCCCCTCCTGCCTGCTGCACTCCCTGGGGTGCCCCGGGCACCCTCGGCTCCCCTCCTGCCTGCTGCACTCCCTGGGGTGCCCCGGGCACCCTCGGCTCCCCTCCTGCCTGCTGCACTCCCTGGGGTGCCCCGGGCACCCTCGGCTCCCCTCCTGCCTGCTGCACTCCCTGGGGTGCCCCGGGCACCCTCGGCTCCCCTCCTGCCTGCTGCGCTCCCTGGGGTGCCCCGGGCACCCTCGGCTCCCCTCCTGCCTGCTGCACTCCCTGGGGTGCCCCGGGCACCCTCAGCACCCTTAGCGACAATGTGTCATGGTTTGAAGTGCACACGATAAATCAGTATGTTAATTAAATCCATAATTGGATCTCGTGCAAACAAATATACAGATTGGAGCCGAGTCTGAAGAGACACAAACGCGTGAAGAAGCCACGTTGTAAGGATGAACGAAAAAACGTATCTCAAATTTGAGGTATGAAAATGTGCAATCGTCTTTTTTTTTAGCATGTGTTGCATGCACTTTCTCATACGCGTTACTAGACTACTGTTTTTTTTAGAATCCCGATCGCTTGTTGGGAAGGCGCGAATTTCCGATGTTCACAACATCCCGTCACGTTTCTCGTCAGGAAATGACGTCACAATATTTCCTGACGACTCCACACGCGTCCTATCGGAGGTTGAGAACACCACACGCCGCTAATTGAGCGCTTGCGGAGAACAAGTAGTGCTATATCTCGTCGCGTTTCTCTCATGGCCACATTCTGCTGCCGGTCTCTCAGCTCTATCGCGCCCTTCGCGGGACCTAGCACGAATAGCACCCGCCGTATCGCTTTCGGAACAGCTACGCTCCCCCCGCTCCCGTTTTTCCCGCTCTTCGCGGGTCGTAGCACCGCTAGCGTCTGCCGAATTTCTTCTGAAACGGTTTCTTTGGCGCCGCAAAGACCGCCCGCTACTAGCCTCCGTATCCTTTCTGGAACCTTTTTTCTTCACCCTCCATTTCCCGCGCCCTTCGCGTGCCGCACTCGGCGCGACAACTCCGCTAGCTCCCCCCGCGTCTTCCGCGTTTCTCCTTCCGCCAGCTCCTCTCCCCCGCCTCCCCCTTCCCCAGCTCCTCCCCCTCCCGGCACTCCGCTCCCCCCATCCCCGCCCTCCTCCCCGCCGCCTTCCCCCTCCTTCCAAGACGGCATTACCTGGTTCTGCCTGTCTTTAATTGCCTTAATCGCGCTCATAGACCTCTCTCCGCTGGGCCCGATCCTTCGCGCCGCGCCTCCGCAATCCGCGCCGTTCCTCCTCGCGCTCGTCCAATGGCTGTTCTTCGTCCTCCCCGCGCTCTCCTGGTGTCGCGACCGCGGGTTCCCCCTCCGCGCAACGATCAAGCTGCAGCTTCCGCGGGGGGCCGGAGGGGAAGGGGGGAGAGCTGGGGATTGGGGAGGTAAGGGGGACGCGGACGGGGAGAAGGAAGCAATAGCAGGGGGAAACGATAGCTGGTGGAAGGCAATTGCAGCAGGGGCGGTAGGGGGTCCCGTTTTATGGGCTCTGCTGTTCTCTTTAATCTCTCTTAAAACGGGTGCTGGAGGGGAGGCGGCAGGGGGAATAGCAGAACTAGCAGCAGGATTAGGAGGGGGAGGGGAGGATAATGTTAGTGCCACAGCATTATTGCTGGGTCCTTTGCTTCTGCCAGATGGGACCGGAGGGGATGTAGCTGCTACAGCTGCGAATGCTACAGCTGCTGCGGCCCTGCCCCTGCTGGACCTGCTACAGCTGTTTCTGTGGGTGGCGGTGTCACCGGCTGTAGCAGAGGAGCTGCTGTTCAGAGGGCTGCTGCTCACGGCCCTGCAAGAGAGGCTCGGCAGGTGAGAGGCTCGGCAGCGGGTTGTGTGGTTTGGCAATGTTCTTCCACCCACTGTCTTCCGTATGGAATGGGCAGTCGCTCGACTCGCCAAAGTCTAGCCTGTCCCCCATCAATGCAACAGCACTCGTTCCTTTCCTCTTACCCTTGCCTCTCTTGGTGCATCTAAGAATTGAAGCCAAGGTAATGTAAGCTATGGTTGTAATTACAAAGGCAAGGCAAGACTATGGCAATGGACTAATCATTGTCAAATTTCTCTCCTCCCTATTCTAACCCCTCTTTTCTCTCAGGATCGACGCTGCCATGCTGTCTGCAGCGCTCTTCGCCCTCTTCCACCTCTCCCTCTCGCTCCTCTTCCCCAACATGGCCCTTGGGATTGCCGCCGGTCTGCTCGCGGTCTACTCCAACAGCGTGCTGCCATCTGTCGCTCTGCACACCACTTACAATGCATCTGCCCTTCTTTATGCACTCATGGCAACGGCTGCTCCTTCCGTCTAGCACAAGAGGCTAGTCTTTTCCTGCATACCACTTACAATGCATCATGGATGTTGCAGAATACATTGCAAATGATGATGTATATCCCATTTCAGAATAAATAAGATTTATAAGCACCCATATGTAGCTCGACTTTCTTACATCTTTCATATAAGCTCTGCCGATATAGAGCGGGTAGTGCACATGCAGGAAATACACGACCTCACATATACACGAGTCTAGCTTTCGCAAATGAATCCACGCCAACCGACAGAAATCCCCAAGGTGACAGACCCGAGGTGACAATCCGGAAATGATAATTTCGGAATTGTCACCATTTCAAGGTCACATTTGCTCGGGGGGGTAGAGCTCGCTTCTCGCCTATCTCGGGCTTGCCGTTCGGGGGGACATAGCACATCTCGGATCCCTGTCTTCTAAAATCCATGTGCTGCTTCGCGCTGCCTCATTCCACGGCACGAGCAAGAGACGGAGAGCTCGTCCGGGCAAGTAGCAGATGAGTAGTCCATCACGAAGGACATGAGCGCTTTTTAGATAGTAATTGCAGATTTCTAAGGTCTTGAAGCGTCATACCTCGTTGGAGCGCTCCGTGTAGCCGTGACTCATTGACATTGATCGTAATTTCGATTCCTCTGCTGTTCGCCATGGCTTGTGTAGTTCCTTCATTCCCATCAGTCGCATCGATCAACAGCTTAGACTACACGCAGATCCGTCTTCGACCTTGCGTACCTCTTGATAAGAGCCACGTGAATTCAGTCAGATCTGTTTTCCCGCCATGGTCGAGCCCGTACCAGCGTAGATTCGGCCCACTGAAACACTCGGTACGGAAATCCTTCGTCAGGATTCGAACCCCTGACCGGAGCGTTGCGACCAGATGCAATGCTATCAACGCTCCCCTGCCAGCAGACTCTTTCGAGACGGAGGTCGCAAACCTTGAAATTGAACCGACGGCCGATGAGAAGGCGAACGTTGGGGCGGAGTTCGATGCGCGTGAACTGGGGGAGGAGGAGATAGGAGCTGATCGAGAAGGGGAGGTGAGCGTAAAAACTTCTGAGGAAAAGCGGGGGGGAACCAAGGAAGTTGGGGGTAAGAGTCGTGGGAGGAGAGCAGGTAAAGCGAAAGCAGGGAGCGAAGGAAGCGAGAGTAAGAGCAGAGAGGGGGAAGCATCCGAGGAGGAGCAGGAGGCAGTGGCGGTAATTGCTCAAGTGCTGATGGCGAAGTTTGGGTCTCAGATTGTGAGAGAGGAGGTGGAGGAGGAGGGGCCTGGGAACGGCCGGAACGAGGGGCGAGAGGAGGTGGAGAGGGAGGAAGAAGCGGCGGCGGAGGAGGAGGATGGAATGGACAAAGAAGTGAAGGAGGAGGAAGCAGAAGCTGAAGCGAGTGAGAAGGTGTCACCAAGCACCACATCTCGCCACGCACGTGCTACCACTCTCTCCTCCCTCCTCTCCTTCTACCGCTTCTTCTCCAACCACCTCGGCATCTCCTCCCCTTCCACTGTCGCTTCCCTCCTCGCGTCTTACCCCCAACTCCTCCGTTCCAGTCCCACCAATGACTTCCTGCCACGTGTCCGTCTCCTACAGTCATACGGCATTTCCAATGCCGACATTGTCCACGTCACTGAGAGAGGTCCACGCTGGCTCCGACCCTCCCTGCCACGAATTCAAAACACCCTTGAGTTCCTTTTGGCTCAAGGCGTCCGCCGAAGCAGATTGGGCTTGGTGATCCGACGTGTACGCAACTTACTTCGCTGGGAGGCACGTTCAACGAACCTGGACATTCTGGTGGAGAGAGCAGGGGTTCCTGTGGACAAGCTGGGTGGAATTATAGAGAGATATCCGTCCATCTTGACTCGGAACAAAGAGGCGGTGATTACTCAGCTTGAGGCCTTATCAGCTTACCTTGAGGCGAAACCTGGAGGGAAGATAGGAGCAAGTAGCACCAGCACAAGCCTCCTGAAAGAACGACTAGATGAGCCACATCTGGACAAGCCGCACCTAAGCAGGCTTATCGTGATGTGTCCATCCATCTTCTCTATTCCTCCCTATCGCATTGCAGAGAATTTTGCCATACTCCAGTCCTTCACTCCCCCAAGCACCCCCTCCGTTGCAAGCTCTGTGCTTCGGCGTGCCCCCTCCCTCCTCGGTTACAGCAAAGAGACTCTTTTAGCTAAGCTCCAGTTTTTTGTGGAGCTGGTGGGGGAGGAGGCAACAGGAAGAGTGGCGAGGAGTTGCCCGCAGGTTCTGCTACAATCGAAGGAGAATCTGCAAGGCAAGGTGGCGGTACTGGCTGATTTGATTGGTCAAGAGAATGCTGTGCGGGTGGTGGCACAATTTCCTCAAGTACTGTCATCTAGTGAAGATAACATGAGAAACAGTTTCAGAAAGCTTGTGCGAGAAGTGGAAGACGCACTGGAGAGCAGTGGAAAAGAGGGAAGTGGGCCACTAAGGTTGGGGGGAGGTGATTATTTGGAAGAGGAGAACGAGTCTGGGGCACAAGGTGACAAGACATGCAGGGCTCGTCGGTTGGTGGTGGATTTCGTGGCGAAGTGCCCGCAAGCTATCTACGTCAGCTGGGAAGAAAATCTGAAGCATAAGGTGGAGTATTTAAAGCGGGACATGGGGCTGTCCATTGCAGAGGTGCTTGCATTTCCAAACTTTGTTACCTACAGCTTGGATCGGCGAATCAGACCGCGACATGTGGCAGTGGTGCAGATGGGGTATGTGGTGGTGGCACATGAGGCGGTTAGGCGGAGGAGTGTTGAAGACAGGAGGGATGTTCTGATAGGAGCTGGGCAACGGAGGAGCAAGGTGGGTTCTGACAAAGTGGAGGGGGTTGAATGGGGATCAGAGAAAAGAAAGAGAGAAAGAACGGGTGGTGGGCAAGAGCAGCAGGGCAAAGGGGAGGATTGTGCTAGTGGACTGCTGATTGAAGAATTCCTAGGACATGACGAGCCAGTGGGGGGAGCTGTTACAAATCAGCAGCTTGTGAACCTGGATGCAGCAAGGAAAACGGTGTGCTTGCAGCAGTTTCTTAAATGCACAGACAAGCAGTTTGAGGAGAAGTTTGGGGTCAAACTGTAGGGCTGCTGCTGATATGCGCTTCTTCGGCTTCCAGTGTGCTGCAGGCCTGAAAGTCCATGCCTGAGTGTGAGGGTGTGCATCCATGCCTGATGTCTGTGTGTGTCTCTCCACATTAGCCCCTCTCTTCAGGAATCATCATTGCATCAACCACTGTGGGCGGATGGGGACGGGGAGAAGGGAGTGATTGCAGAGGGTAATGATAGCTGATGGAAGGTGATTGTGGAAGCGGCAGAGGGGGGGACTATTCTATGGGCTATGATTCTCTCTCTCGTTTCTCTTAAAGCAGGTGCTGGAGGGGAGAGGGGAGGTGGATTAGCAGATCTAGCAGCAGCAGCAGCAGCAGCAGCAGCAGGGGCAGGAGCAGCACGAGGAGGAGGGGGGGATAGCATGTGAGCTACATCCTTGTCGCTAGGTCCTTTGTCGCCGCCTGATGGGATCGGAGGGGGTGTGGCTGCTACAGCTGCCAAGGCTACAGCTGCCTCTGCTACAGCTGCCACTGCTACAGCCACCGCAGCCCTCCCCCTGCTCGACCTGCTACAGATGTTCCTGTGGGTGGCGGTGTGGCCGGCTGTAGCAGAGGAGCTTCTGTTCAGAGGGCTGCTGCTGACGGCCCTGCAAGAGAGGCTCGGCAGGTGAGAGGCTTGACAGGAGGCTCGGTAGTGAGGTTGGCAAGGACTCACTGCTACCACCTTCTTTCTGGTTTGATAACGCCCTCCATTTTCATGGCCCACACTCTCTCATCAATCCAATGTCACTGTTCTTTCTTATCCTCACATCATCTTTCCTGTATTCCCCTCCTTTCCTCCCTGCATTATCCCCTTCCCTGCCTCTCTCCCCTTCCCTCTCTGTTTCCCCCCAGGATCGATGCTGCCATGCTGTCTGCAGCCCTCTTCGCCCTCTTCCACCTCTCCCTCGCCCCCCTCTTCCCCAACATGGCCCTTGGTATTGCCGCCGGTCTGCTCACTGTCTACTCCAATAGCATCTTGCCAACTGTCGCTCTGCATACCACTTACAATGCTTCTGCTTTAATCTACGCACTCATGGCTACGACGATTGCTTCTGTCTATCAGGCAAAGACTGGTTAGTACAAAGACCTGGTTCCTTCACAGGTGTGGAACATCCTGAAAACAGGAAAAGATTCTGGCTGGACATTGCCCAACTACCGCACCAGCGGGACCAATCTGGTTCGTGCCTCCAAGTTGGTATGGACCATGGTGTCTGGACGTTCCATGTCAGTTCTCCACGATAGCAACGTTAATTGGGTAAATGAAACAGTGCAAACACGCATTTGATGAGCCCAATAAATTCCTGATGGGTGCACGGTCTACACCATGTGCATTCAATATGAGTGGGATGAAAGAACTCACATGACTCATAAAGACGATGAGATATAAGATCACAACTTACTGTAAGGAATTATTATTCCTTACTGTACTCGCATTTTAGCGAGTACAATCCGAACACCACGCGTCAGCCCGGTTCGGCCTACATTTCCGCCCAGAACCACTTCCGAGCCGCCACGACTCCAATCGCAACACTTTCCGAGCCATCCTAGCCCGAACCCTTCGCCTAGCTAGGATTCCCCTTATAAATTCTCGTCACTTTCCTTGTATCGTCATTCAGTAGTTCAGTATTCTCGTTATTCGTTTTACTGCGCACTCTGCAAGTTCATTCATAACACCTGGTATCAGAGCTACTTTCCTAGCCTACCCCGCTTTTTAGAGTGTATTGCCCCTCGGGGGGGGGGGGGGGGGGGGGGGGGGGGGGAGACGAGGAAGGATGTCCTGGGGTCCAGGAGTTGCGTGGGCCGGCTAGGAGAACGAGTTAGTTGCTCCTCGCGGCCATAGTTTTACAGGGCACTCCTTCGGCACCGCCAGATCCTTGCCTCGAACGGTCGCGATCGACCGTGGCCTCCCTCCCCCCGGG